AGGTAACAGGGTGTCAGATACACATCTTGTTCTAGTCACTAGACCAACTGTACTACCGAGGTGTTAGGCACTCAAAGCGCCGATACAAATTGGCCTTAGTCTCCTGAGAGTATATCAATAAATAACCGCCGGGTAGCTGACGTCTCGGGTGAGGTCATTAGCAGATAGATTTTCACTACCAGTATCGTAAACTTCTGACTGGGATTAAGTATCTCAATCTTTGTTGCTTTTTTCGCCGCACGAAATGGCGCGCAAGTCGCCTCAATAGTGTACCCTCCCTAAAGTCCGAGTCTCGTGTCCTTTAATTAAATAAACGCCAGGGACCCTTTGACCTATCAGTCTGACAAGATTAAAGCCCTCCTATTCATGGTAAAAAGTAAAGCCCTCTAAAACCAGTCCTGTCCAACAGCCATATTTCGTTTCAACTAAACATGGATATGTGCCATAGTACCTACTTTCGACTTACTCACTGCCAAGCTGTGAACACAACTAGTCTGGTCCGTTTTCTGCGCTTCATGGAGATGACCAGGTTACTCTAGGTTCGTGCATATATGACACTAACCAGACAATGGGTCTGGTACCCGCATTTTAAATCACTTGTAAATCGATTAATTCCCAGACAGAGAAAAACACTACAAACACAGAGGTTGTGTGCGCAATTTGGCAACCGATGAGGTCGTTGGAGGCCAAGTCGTAGATCCAACGGACAATTGTGTCCGGCAGCCCGCATATCGATTATTTTTAATATCAAGAGACGCTCCTCAGTCATTAAGACACTGTTTCCGATCTTAACACCATCCTTGAAAAAAGCAGCGGGGTGAAACTATAATATAACCACACCCTCTCCCCCCCCCCTTGGAATCCCTGCCTACATGGTTGTTGCTTACCTTTGTTAGACAGACGCTTGCATTTGCTTATCGACCTCGGAAATGACACTTTCGACAGTACGCTCACCGTATTCGGTGGACTCTGGCTATCTACACCAATAATAATACATGTTTAAGGTATACTCAGCTAACTTATTAGGCTTGTTTGCAGCGTACGCAACAGGTCGTGGAAGAAAATATGTCGTAACGTTACAAGGCAATGTAATTGACACTTTGTTCTGCTGATACGCTGCAAAATCTAATCGTGATTACATGTGGTTATGCTGACAAATTTCAATACTTAACGGGTCAGGGTTTGTTACGAACTGTACACTTGAAAAATGTGTGCGTTCAATGGGATGGGGGTTGATTCTGCTGGTACCGTTCGCGCAAGCATTACGAAAAACACCAGATAATGAAGTTGGATTGGTGTTAGGGGAGGGTCAGCCTACTCATGAGGTACACCGGTCAGAGGGGTGGTTATATTGCAGGCTGGCCCCAAGGCCAAATTTAAGGGCTTGCAATTTGGCCCTTAGAAGCACGAACATGGTAGCCTATCCAGCTGATATATTCGAAGTAGCCGAGTCGGTCACGGTCGCATATTCGCGCATATTATTGATTAGGCAATATGCCTTCTATTGGTCAGGCCCACATTGTAGGAGTGGGTCGTCACATGATCAGAAACCAGTAATCAAAACAGTGACCGGATTAGGGCAGCCCATTCATCGCTCTCAATCGGGGCTGTTTTTCCAGAGGAAGAAGATGTTGACCCATGTTCGCTCCAGTGACAGCTGAGTACAGCGCCTGATCCATAATTTGCTCCAGTCATTGACGGTTAAAAACGGGGTGTATGAAGTAGAGTACTCTTATTTGTTATGGCTGCTCTGAAGGCTTCCTTCAAAGAGAGCCGTCACAGTCTGGTTGTTACTCTCAACGACCACGCTATCCCATCAAATGACATCTTCTCAAGCCAAGACTTGTAGAATGCTGTGATAGTTCATACTACAAGGTTGTTCGGGCTCGATAACAATGGCCGATGGTGTTTGGCTCAGACCTGCTACGTATAGATGGCGCTTGGCCTTTTCTCGATAAACAATTCTACGCGGTACCTCTCGCGATCTGGAAGACTGTCGACTCGCGTGGATATCACTGTCCTCTTCCTGACTAAGTCGGACGGCAATGTCTTCCTAATTTGATATTTGTGGCATGATATCCGAGATGTGGTATGTGTGTAGCGGAGAACCACCGCGTGCGACGGGTTTAGCCTCATCCCTAGCTGTTTAAAACACGCCAGCCCATTGGACAATGGCGGGTTTGGTAAGAAAGAAAGAGGTACACACCGTGCAGGTGAGATAAACCACTTGTGAGCTTAACAGAGCTAGCGTTTATCTCGTACCCCACAAGGAGGGCTCAGCATCCGTGACTTAAGCGTGAATGATATTACAGTAAGGAGAGCTTTTGTAGCTCCTGCCTCACCCTCCCTTCCCTCACTCACCTGGATCCGGTGGCAAGACAAAGTCAAGACGAACGGAGCTGGGCGCTGGCCCAATGACTGACAAACATAGCCAGACCATCTACGCGTTCCACTCACATGACCTGAGCCAAGCTCCATGTGTACCAGTCTGATGTACGGATGTCTCGGGTCTCACCTAGGTGAGGATAGCAGAAAGGCCGGACTAAGAAGGAGCCACTTAATCCTGACCCCCAGTTCTGAAAAAGATGGAGTCTTTCTGACGGTCGGCAGCCTTTCAAGCCCCGACTCTTATCCTGTTGTGATGGGTTCAAGAGCGCCATACAGTGATTGACCGATCTCATGAAATGATGACTGAAATTCCGAGATGCCTCTTCGATTGTATTCCATTTAAGTAATCACTATTTACCGAGTGCGCTTTCTACAGGAGATAAAAATAAAGTGTATTTTAAAGTTGTCATCCTGCCGAGTCCGAAATATTATAAGATTATGCCGCAAGATAATCAATATTACAA